ACCAAGGCATTCACCTGCTCCAGGAGTGCAACCTGGGAGAGGATAAACTGCTCCTCTAAAGCAAAAATGGACAAGATAGTTGCAGTGAAGCAAATCTGGGCATTGCTACTCAGCCCATGTAAGGGCCTGAGGACCTGGCAAGGGAGATGGCTAGGTCCTAGAGCTTTGGACAGTGACTCTGTCCACTACCCCCTTTTCTAGGTGCACATTTCCATCCTGCCCCCAACTCTCCTGGATGCCTCAGGTCTGACCCATCTGAGCCTAAGGAGCCTCTCAATTTCTCCAAATCCCACCTTTCTCCAAGGTTTAACTTTAAGGCCTCTTTTTCTAGCCTCCTATCAACAAACTCAGGGAGCACCTCTTACGCCACAGGATACAAAGTACTTCAGACTTGGATCCCCACACCCAAGGGTCCCTGGGAAGGTCTAAAAGAGGAGATATTGGCAGACTATGCCAGGCAGGTTCTGCTCAGGGGCTCTCAGAGGCATAGACAATTATATGCTGGAGGATTGCTGGGACAGTAATGGAAGAGTCCAGTGAGGAAAGCATGATCTGGGCTAGGCCCTATATGCACAGGGGATTTTAATGCACTGAAATCCACAGAGTGGGAAGGTTATTCAAGAGAGACGACTGTTATGTGCAAATGCTTAGAGGCAGGAATGCTTGTCAATTAGTAGATGAGAAAGAATTCCATTAGCTGAACTGGAGCAGGGAGAGCACAGGAAACAGAGTTGGATGGGAAGGTAGACCCGGCAGACTGAAAGGTTGTGAATGGCAGACTATGGAATTAGGAATTTATCCTAACAAGGCAGAAGACACTGAGGTTCCAAAGTAGGCCAAGTGACATGCTGGAAACATGTTTTTGTGAAGGTGAGACTGAACCACATGCAGGAAGGGAAAGATTAGGGTCGACAGTATGATTTAGGAGACTGTGAAACCATTCATGTGCAAGTGGATATACAATTCCTGAGGCAGTGCCACAGGGAGGGATGGAGAGGCTGGACTCAAGAGTCAGTGCAGGAGAATATCTAAACTTGGTGCTTGAGCCATGGCAATTGATCAAGAGCCCTTTGGGAACTCTGACGGCCCTTTTAGCAGGAGTGGCCCATCCTTACCCAGTCCTCAGTGCTGCATTGCACTGATCAGTCTCCTGGGAGACTGATCTCCCATCTGGGTTATAAGCTCAGGTCCCTGAAGCAGAGACCCTGTCTCCCCTAGCTCTGGCTGTACACACGAGGGCAGGGACTTTCTGGTTCACCAGTGTATGCCTCCTCACCTAGGAAAAAACCTGGATCAGAGTAGATGATCATTATACATCTTTTGGATGAATAACGAAGCTCAGAAAACCCTAGCTTATAGAATGGCTGACTGATTAGCAGACATTGCCAAGGCAATAGTTCCTGCCTAGAACTCTGAAACTGCAGAGCTTTCTCACATGAAAGAAAGATGTTGAAACTCATGCCAGTACTCTCTCTTTTCTTTAATGGCAATGCTCTCTGCCCCTATCCTTTCCTAGAAGCTCCTCTGTCTAGTAAGCAGAAGTGAGGAAGGTTCTGAAGGAAAATCCAAGAGGCAGGCTATTGATAGAACATTGGACTAGCTCCCACTATGGCTGGCACCATGGCCTGCAGCTGGCCCAGAGGTATACTGTACTCAACGTCTACTAGAGGATCCACTGGATCCTCAACCCAGAACCAGGCCACAATTCCAGAGAGCAGCATCCAGGGGTTGTATCCATCAGAAGACTGGATGGGGAGGCCATCTCTGTGCTTAACCTCCCCGACGACCCATATCCTCAGATGCATGTACACATGTAGTCCAGCATTACCTGCTAAGATGAACTGCAGCTTAGAAGCATCAGGTATGGCAATGCGGTCGATGTACTCAGGATCCAGGTACTTGATCAGATCTTCAACTAGAAAAGTAGCGAGATGGGAAATGGAATAGGGTTGGGCAGTAGAACACTGCCTTATGAAGGATGTTTGACAAGTGGTCAGCCTTGAGGAGAGCCTTCAATGAGGAGCTGATACCCAACAGTGCTGCTTGAGCAGGGCTCCACCAGGCTCCCTAGCCCCACTTCCCTATCTCTCCACTCTCTTCTCTTGAGGTCTCTTCTGACATCAAGCTTCAGAGCTGAAAATACAATTGCCACCACCACTCTGGGCCCTCAGCATTCTCACTGACCTATCCTTATCAAGGGTAGAAGGCCTCTTTTCTCCTAGATGTCAACAAGACAAGCCAGAGCTTTGTCTAATTTCTAGTTACTAAGCAGGTTACTAGCTCTGACATAACCAGGCTCTCAGTGTCTAATTTGTTTCCTGCCTCTTAACTTTGCCTGGGAAATCCCATACCCTTTCTACCCTCCTTCACCAAGAGAAGCTTTCAGGTAGAGCTCTTATCTCATAACTAAGGACACTGTCATGGGCTTGAAGTTTAGCCACAAGGTAGAAAAGCACACTCCAATTTACCAATCAAATTGGGTGCAGGTAAATGTCCTCATAATTTTTCTATCCCCAAAGGGCTATTCCAGTGACTTAATGAACTGAAAGGCTAGGGCCAGGTCCCAGGAAGCCTAGGGATGGGATGTCAGGCAGGCAGGCACATCATGGAAGCACTTACTCTTTTTGTAGAGAATCTTCACCCTCTCCCTCTTGCTGGCAATGTTCCCCAAAGCCACCTGCACCTTGACCAGGCCGTCAGCCACCTGTAAGGGAAGTGGTGGTTAGTTCCAAGATATACTACCTGGCTCAAGGCTCGGAAGAGCTAAATAACCCTCATTCTCCTAGACTGTCAAACCTGAATCCCAGTAATCTAGGTTGGCCTCCCTTCTCTAATATTAAAAGAGATGCAGCCCCACCTTCCAGGAATCCTCAAAGTGGAGACAGAGAATCATGTACTCCTTGGGGAGTTTCAAGTCTGATGGGGATGATAATGAACTATTTTAGAGTCTATGGAATATATAGTATACACAATATATTTTCTGGTTCCTAAGCCCTGGGTTTGGGCATAAGAAATGCAAGCATCCTCATTCAAGCCTTCATGACCTCTAGATTGGCTGGCCTACCTCTAGCCCTATCCCCTCCACATCAAATTTAGTGTGAGAGATGGAAGAGTCCAAACAACTGGGATCCCAATGATGGTACAATCACTGACTTAGGGAATACAGAAGAGAATCAGATTGGGGAGAAAAAGAGTACAGTTAAGAGCATACAGATTGAGTTTGAAATGACTATTGGATAACCAAGTGGAAAAATCCAGTAGACAACTGGACATGAAAGTCTGGTTCTCAGAACAGAAATCTGGACCAGAGATATACATTTGAGACATATTGACATGTAAATAGTAATTGACACCATGGAAGCGAGTAAGCCTACCTAACGTTTAGGGGTAGAATATAAAGAATCCCAATATTAAAGGGTCAAATAGAGGAGGAGACTAAGGAAGTGACTGCACTCACCCAGTTTTTAGAGTAGAGGATAAGGAATGCCAGGGAGGAGGCAAATAACACTGAGAAGCAGTAGTTAAGAGGTAGAAGGAAAACCAGGAGGGTCAGTGTCGTTGATCCCAAAGGAAGAGAATGTTCGAGAAGTTAGTTCTGAAATGGGAGCACAGTCTGCTAGTGACAACTAATCCCTCATTTAGTGTACAAACAGACATCATTACCTTGGACGCACTTAGCTCCAGGACATGCCTGACACGAAATTAGAAGTTCTTCAGTAAAAGGTCTTCCCATAGTAGAAAGGTGAGGAGAGAGCACCTGAGCTTCATAGTTGTCAAAATTCCGTCACTGGTATAAAGCAGTGCTAGTCCACATCTGAACACCCAGTACTCAATCTCTTCCCTTCCTAATCCTGGTCCTTTCAGACCTCACCTCTCACCCTTTGGAGCTTTCCTTATCCACCTCTGCTCTGCCTCCTCATGGGTCCCATGGACCTCTTCCTGCACAATTCATTTAGCAATTAATTACGCAGGGCTCCACGACGGGCCTTCCTATCGTGGACTTCAGCTTTTATTGAAACTCTCATTAGTCAGCTTCTCGAGTGTGTCAGGTCTCCCCAACTACAGCCCGCGAGGGCAAGGGTGGAGTCTCAGCCACAGTAGGTACTGAGCCCACTCTCAGGCTGGCTTAACCACCCGCAGTGCCCCCTATGACAATGGACCCCCGAGGATCCAAAACGTCTGGAATGGGAGGTTCCAGACGTTTGTTATTTCAAAGGCCGGGCTGCGGAGAACAGGACTGCAGCGGTTGCATCCCGAGGGCCGGGACAGTGGACCACTCTTGCTCTGTTCCAGAAAGGGACCACCGGACCAGACTACTCACCTTCCGCGAGCCGCGCGCCCCGCCCGGCCCGTACACCCAGCGTTCCAGCTCTTCCACTCGGGCCTGCAGCCGCTGCACGTCAGTCAGACCGGCCATCTCCACTACCGACCCACTTCAGCCGGGAAACGGCCAGAGGGTGGGACGTCCGTCCAAATAGGAAGGCTAGCGAATCCGAGTGCACGAGCAGCCCTTTATGCAGGAAGTGACGTCATGATTCAGCCTTTCAGTACCCGAATTTACTGCTTGGAGCTGTGAAAAGCTGATTACCTTGGCAACGGCTCTGTACCAGCCCTCCCCGGCTTCCAGCGCCTGGTTGTCAAGACAACCTTTGCTTTTCGGGTGCCAAAGAGCTTTCCCCACGCCATTCCCTGAGTTTGCACGTGTTCCAGGGTAGGTCCATTCCCATTGATACATCATTAGAAGGCTCCGTGAGTTACCATAAACTTTTGGAGTCTTCTAAAGTTCAGTTGATTAAGTAACTTGCCCAAGGTCACCCAGCACTATAGGGACAGAAATGGGACTTGAACTCAGGTTGTCTGATTCAAGAGACGGAGCTCTTCTATTCTCACGGAACTTTGCTATTCTGCCTTCCCCTCTGAAAGGCCCTGGCCCAAGGCAGCCCATGTTCCACATCATTCCTCCCCACCTCCCATACCCAAACAAGAAAGGAGGCATCAGAGAGGGAGGGATCACAGCTTTATTGTCTAGATGTGACCTGAGGGATGTCTCTTTCACAGTACCCCACCCAACCTTTCACTTGGCTCCTGAAGAGAAGCAAGGCTGACTCAAAGGGGTAGGGTTCTAGAGATGACATTGACAGAGGGGACACATGAGGAGATGATAGTGGTTACTGGAGGAAGAACACTTTAGTAGATGCTGCTGGAATTGGCTGGGGAGGAGATGCCTTCCCTTTACAGTGAGGTAGGTGTAACATCAAAAGAAACTTTGGTTTTAAGTCTACATGGCATGGGAGGTGTGGTTCCCTCCCAGGGCTGGGTCCCAGAGTGGGCAGCCGGAAAGAATCAAAGCAGGGGGACTCCTCCCCACTCAGCAATGGGGCTGGGACTCTTAGTTTCAAGTAGGACCTCTCAGGGGAAGGTGCTGGAAGGGGGCCCTGTAGAGGGTGGGGGTGCAGGGTTGGTTGGACCCTGGGAAGCTGGCACAGGCTGGCGGCGGGCAAAGAGGACACCTGGCAAAGGGGTGAGGAGATGGTAGAGGGCAAAAACAAGCAGGAGGGGGTAGGATATGGAAACAGAAGAGGGGAACAAAAGTAAGTGTTCTGGTTGCTAGAACACTACACACGTACCCCTGCCACAAACCAATGAGGACAAGCTCCTTGGGTCAGTAAGAGACTCCATTGCTAATGTAGATACCCTCAAACAGGTAAACAATAATATTTATGCTGATACATAGGCCCATGACAAGGCAGACATCCCCTGGTACTCATGCCAGAGAGGTCATGCCTTGGATCCCATGCCATGTAGGCACCCCCTTTAACCCATGCCAGTCTAGCAATCCCCTGAACCCCATGTTACCCATGCAAGTTTAGATATCCCTGAACTTCATGCTAGTAGATGAAGTCTAAAATCCCCATGCCAGCCTAAATACCCCTGACCCCATGCCAGTGTAGACAGCCTGCAGTACCCATACCAGTGTAGACCACCCCGTTGATCTCTAGGGCCATGTTGATACTGCTGATGCCACTGCCTGCCAGATTAAGAGGCCCATCCAGCCGCTCTTCTGTCCAGGAGGGGGCAGAGGAATCACATTTTGGAGAATCAGACTTCAGACTTATTAATAGAATTTCCCCCCTCCATCCCTGTAGACAGCCCCCATTCCACTTCAGCCCCACAGGTATACTCACACAATTGTCTATAAAGGAATCTGTCTGCCCCGTCTCTAACACCTATCAGGTGATGGGTCAATCCTCCCTCAGTGTACAGTCCCAAAGCCCCCTCACAACAAACCCCTCCTCACCCCTCAGGGGAACCTTGCCACGGGGCAGGAAACTGGGGGGCATGCCAGGTCGAGGTGGGTCCATGGGCCCCATCAGCACAGCTCTCTTTTCTGGGGGCTCCTCTGGTGCCAGTTTCTCCCGTGTAGGTCCCAATGCCAGGCCCACAGGCAGTGCCAGGCGAGGGGTTGGAATTCCACTCTCCTCTGGAAGAACAGGTTATTCAGCTCCCCTGGCCAAACCAACCCATCTCTGCATTTGGTTCTCCCCCAGGCCTGGGACCAAAAGAGGTAACTCAAGCTCATGTACCAATCTCTCATCCTTCATTCCATCTATCTTCCCATCCTCAGTCTGGAAGCGCTGAAGCTTTTCTCTAGAGCCCAAAGGATCAATGTACATGTCTAGAGAATTTGGGGGTTGTTTTCGACTGTTGGTTATTAAATAATCCAGGTCACAAGAGGCACAAACTATATGCAAATAGGAGCACTGGGTGGATAGGTGTGGAATGGAGCTGCTGTGATTAAAGGACCTTTTCCTGGCTGGGCGCGGTGGCTAAGCCTGTAATCCCAACACTTTGGGAGGCCGAGGCGAGCGGATCACGTGGTCAGGAGATCGAGACCATCCTGGCTAACATGGTGAAACCCCATCTCTACTAAAAATACAAAAAAAAAAAAAAAAAAAAAAAATTAGCCGGGCGTGGTGGCGGGCGCCTGTAGTCCCAGCTACTCGGGAGGCTGAGGCAGGAGAATCGTTTGAACCCGGGAGGCGGAGGTTGCGGTGAGCTGAGATAGCGCCACTGCACTCCAGCTTGGGCGACGGAACGAGACGCCGTCTCAAAAAAAAAAAAAAAAAAAAAAAAAAGGACCTTTTCCTGGACTTCAGCCCCCACACCTCAGTAACCCATACCCCAAAGCGCTCATTTGACCCCAAACCTCAGGACCCCTAAACCTTTGTGACCCCCAAACTTCAGAGGCCCGTCAGACCTTACTGCTCCCAGACCTCAGTCCCCACATTTTAATGGTTGCTATATCTTAGCGCCCACCTAAACCTCAGAGACCCTTAAACCTCCACCATTCTCCCCTCGCACCTTTCTTAATAGGGCTTGGACTCAACTGAGCGCATGCGTGCGCTGGCAGGCCGGAGGCGGAACCCTGGGCGGGGCCGGGGCTGGATGGGGTCGCCCGAGGGGCGGGGCCGGCACCCAAGGCAGGGCCCAGAGCGCCCCGAGGGGGCGGCCCTGCCAAGCCAAAGAGTGGAGTAGCGGTGTAAGCCTGGCGACGGCCTTCGCGCCGATTGCTGTCTATGGCGGCCTGGAGCTCCCCTGGGGAGCTGAGCGCTCGAGTCTCGCACTCGTACGGGTACAAGTACTTCATGTACCTAGGGGCGGACAGCGGGCGGTGAGTGTGTGGGAGTGTCTGGGCCCAGCTGGTCAAGTCCCACACCCGGACGCCCGCCCGGGGACCCTCCCCTCCCCGCCCCAGCCCGACCCCGTGCCCCCTTCCCTTCCGCTAGCGCCCCTGGCCTCACTGGGTGCGTAGAGTGAAGGCGGCCGAGGTGATGGTGGTGGGTAGGCTGAGGCCGCGCGTGACTTCCCGCCACACTTTGCGGTTGATGACTTCCACCAGGCCGCCCTTGGCGGTCACCAGACGAAACAGAGCGTACAGGTCCAGCACCTGCTTCGCCATGATGGGCACGCGGTTCACTGGCGTCCCTGGTGGGGAGCGGGCTGCAGTCAGGACACTGAGACTAAGACCCTGTCTACAGCATCCCCGGGGACTGATACGGGGCTGGAGCCCCGGGGAGGGCGGGAAAGAGGGAGACTTGGGCAGAGCCCACGGAACCCCAGAACCTCTATTTTAGCAGGAAGGACAGGAGGCTAGCACAGGGGTGGGCAAAGTTCTGTAAAAGGCCAGATGGCTAAATGATCTCTGTCACAACTACTCAATGCTGTCATTGTAGCCTAAAGGCGGCCATAGAGAATACCTAAAGGAATGGATGCGGCTGTGTTCCAATAATATAGACTCTGAAATTCGAATTTCACCAGTCTGGAGATGTTATTCATCTTTTAATTTTGTCCCCCAACTATTTAAATAAGTAAAAACCATTCTTATCTTGCAGGCAGCTGGGTTTGGCCTGCAAACTTTAGTTTGCTGTCCCCTGGGGTAGACCGCGGGAAGGACTTCCGGACAGTGCTGAAGAGCCGGCCTCCCCTAAGCAGCAGCCCCCGGGTGGCTGCCCAAGGCTGGGGGATGACGGGCGGGAGAAGAATCAGCTCCCGCCTCAGCCCGCCGACTCCGCAGCCCGCGCCGCCCCCGCCGGCCAGTCCTGACAAAGGGGCCTGTCTGCGCTGAGCGATGGGCCCCAGTTAATTCCTTACCGATCCCGTCCCCTTCCGCCGCGCCTTTGGACCCGAACAATTAGCTGCGGCCTGATTAATGGGGGAAAATTATCGGCCCCGCGGGACCCCCTCCCCCTGCAACTGGAGCGATGGGAGGCAGGGACCGAAGGGAGGCAGAGCTAGTGGGGAGGGGCTGGCAGGCAATGCTGAGATCGGTTCACAGCCGCTACCCCAGTGGAGGGGAGGCCTCGAGGAAGGGCCAGAGAGGGGACACTGGAACCAGAATGGGCCTCCCTGGGAACCAAAAGGACTTAGGGCCCTACTGAGGGTCCCAGGGAAGCAAGGGACCCGAAAGGGGTGCTGGGGCTAGGGCGAGGGCCGGGGCGGGAAGTGGGCCAGCAGCTGCACTAAAAGGGGGGGGGGGACAGTGCAGCCAGTTAATTAGCGGCTTATCAGGTTGCGCTCTGAGTGAGTTAATTAGCTTTGTAGAGAGAGATAATGAGTCAGTGTTCCGTCCCATGAATCTGGGGAGAAGCTGAAGTGATGGACTGCCACCCACCCTGATGCCCTCCTAGACCCTTCTTGCGTTCTCCTCCAGCTCTGACATTCCTGGAAAGGAATTTCTCCTCCTGCACAGCCTCAACTCACATAGTCCCCAGCCCGCCCCTTGGGAAGTCCTTCCTCCAGTCTAATCCTAGTCCTTCCTGCTGTAGAGTACATGAGATGCACCCTGCCTTAATCAAGGGAAAACAGGAAAGACATGACTGGAGGAAGGACCCTTGACAGAGAACCAAGGCATTTTCAGCCCTCTGATTCTGGGACCCTCCCACCCCAGGCCAGCCTCCCATCAGTTCCCCCTCCCACCCTCCCAATTGATCCCACACTCATTAACCTGCCAGTGGGCTGGCCGCTAATTAATCCTGGGGTGGAGGAGGGGGGCAGGGTCAGAGGTTAAAGACGCTATTGAGGGCCCAAAGGACAGGTGCTGCCAAGCTCAGGCCTCTGCAGGGAGAACCCAACCGGGTTTCCTCAAACGTGGTAAGGGGGCAATTCCAGGGCCCTTCCCCCACATCATGCCACTCACCCCTCTTTTGCATGAAGCTAAACAGGTCATCCAGAAATTCCTTCCTCTTGGGGTCTGCATCGAGCTCATACAGCTGGGGAAGGATTGGGGTCATTCTACAGCTCTGCTGACCCCCCTCCCTCCCTAGACCCCAATTCAGGTTGTACCCTGAACAAGGGTCCCTAGCTGAAGGAGTCAGTAGGATCTCAATGTGGACTCCCTGGCATTAGCATTAGGCTCTCTCCGCCTAGGGGCAGGCAGAGGTGCCTTTCCTAGTACATACAGAGACTGGTACTGGTAGTGGTGCCCTAGGCCGTTCAAACCACCCATCTAGGGAGTAAGGGAAGAGAGGAACAGGATGGAGCTTGGAGGCTCAGCCTGCCCTCTGGGGCCCAGTCTTCCCCCACCCTCATGGGAAATTTAGAGCCCCAGGAAGGAAGCTAGGCTGGGGTTGTATTCCAGACTGAGGAGACAAACATATATCTGATGCTCTGATTCATTCATGCAAGGACTTCATGCTGTTCACATCCCTGTATGCCAGGGCTGGGGGTGAGTGAATGGCAGAGACGCTTCTAACCCACCCCTCAGGCAGGGTGATGCTCAGAAGCTCCTGGGTTGACACCCAGTGCCCTTCAGCTCATCTTCTGGTCTGATTTCGTTTCAGAGGCAGTTACCCTGCCTACTACGGAAGCTGCTATAGAGGCAGTGGCCCTGTGGGGTCAGAATTTGAAGGATCCACAGACCAGCTCAACTCTTCCTGGTAATCTGGAGTCCCACCTCCTGTATCAACTCCCGAATACCAGCCAAGGGAACCACCCCTAGAGTCACTGACCCAGAGTAACAGTCCTTGAGTAACACCTATAGATAATATTCCATCACACCATCCCCATAAGAATACTCAGAATAAAAAACAAACAAAATACCCATGAGTAATAAGCCCCAGATCCACCTTTAGAGCCACATTCCCACAAAAACTGAGCCCTAAGTCTTAGATGGATACCCACAAATAATACATACACTCTCCAAGTAATAACCCCTAGAATTATACCTAGGAGAAACAGTCTCTAGAGCCATATATCCAGAACAGAGCCCTGAGTAACACTCAGTTTTACACTAATGCCAGAGTACTACTCACAGATTAACACTTTTCGAATATACTCAGACCAACATCCTATAAGTTAACACCACCAGAATGGCACACCTGGAGTCACAGCCCTGTGTAACACCTTCGTAGTGACAGCCTTGAGTAGTGTCCTTAGAATAACACCCAGAGGGGTTCTCCAGGGAGAAAGAACCTCAGATTAAGGCCCTGTGAATGAAGTCTTGTCATTCTGAGTTGCAGAGGAGCCCTATAGTCATACTGTGGCTGTAGTGGCTATCACAGGCTGGGAACTATCATCCATGGAACTCAGGCCAGGGAGAAGATTTGCATGGGGCTGGGGTTAGGGGGATGTGACAGGAAAGAAAGGAGAGGTGTATCAACCTGCCAAGGGAGTGATAACCTCCATTCTGCTTCTGAAGACAGAGGAAGCAACTGGGACACCCCCACTGGTCCCTGGAATATGACCTTGTGACTTGATGTTTGAGAAGGTAGGTAGGGTGGTAGGTAGGAATCCCCAGCCCCCAGACTGCCTTCCCTACACCTGGCTGGGCATGGTGGCTCATGCCTGTAATCTCAGCACTTTGGGAAGCCGAGGTGGGAGGATCAGTTGAGCTCAAGAGTTCAAGACCAGCCTGGGCAATACAAGGAGACCCTGTCTTTACAAAAGAAATTTAAAAAAATTAGCCAGGCATCTGTCTTTCCCTCCCTGTCACTATCCTCCAATCTTCCCTCTGTCTTTCTCTAGGTCTCCGTGTCTCTGTGTCTCTTTTCATCTTGCAGAGAGTGGTGCAGTTGGGTGGGCTGCTATCACCTGGCTCGGTTTTCGCCAGAAGAGGGAGATAGGGGAGAGGCCCGGACATCGAGGGCATAGGTCCTACCTGCTTGAATTGTTCCTCGTAGGTCCACTCGTGGGGATGGAGTCCAGGGGGCTGGCTAGAAGGTGAGCTGGGGCCCTGGGCCCCTGGATGGTTCTCCTCAGCTGCCTCCTCCTCTGCCCTGGCTTCCTCCCCCTCCTCCTCATCTTCTTCAGCATCTTCCTCTTCCTCAGTCCCAACCTCCCCCAAGGCCCCCTCAGGGGCCTGTAGGGTCCGGTGGTCAGGCAGGGGAGGCCCGGGTGGCAGCAGCGAGCGTGCAGGGGCCAATGGCCCCACCCCCTGGGCCAGCCGAGCTGCCTGCTGCTTCTGCAGGGCCTCCATGACAGCTTCCAGGCGCAGTCCCCCAGCTGAGGGGGGCCCTGGTACCAGGCGGGACCCCGAGGAAAGGGCCGCCTGTGGGGGAGGGAATTATGGGTGCTGGGCCCTGCTGCCCCCATAGCCCCCAACACAGGGGGAGGTGGTCATGGATTCAGGGAAGTGCAGGAGTCACAAGGAAACAGGCAGAAAGATGGCTTTCCCAGAGGTGAACAGAAACAGGACCAGACCCCGGGAATCAGAAATGGCCATTGACTGAGGACTGGAAGAGTGAGCAGATCAGAGAGGGTGACAGGGACCAAGAGACATCGGGAAATGGTGAAGGGAGGGAGAGAGAAAGAAAAGGAGAAGGGGGAATGTCCGACAGAGACAATGACAGGAAGATGTGAAAATAGAGATGGCACAGGGTGACAAGGAGAGAAAGAAGTGGGGTGACACAGAGACTGAGAGGGACCAAGATGCAGAGAGGCAGAAATATCAGGCAGAGACAGGGTAGAGAGACAGAGATGGAGAGAGATAGAATATTGGGTAGAGAGACAGGGAGGGTAAGAGAGGTAGAGGAGCAAGAGATAAAAGACCTAAGTGACAGGTAACTCAGAGACGGACAGAAACGGAGACACAGAGGCGGAGATAGACAAATAGTGAGGCAGGTGTTGAGAGACAGGAAAAGACCAAGACAGCAGGAAGCAGACAGAAAAGAGAAATTAGAAAGAGATAGTGAAATAGAGAGGGACCGACTGAGACAGGACGGGGAAAACAGCCGGAGAGAGGGGCAGAGGACAGGGACCAAGGAGTCGCCGGGATGGAGGGCGGTGGGGCAGAGCCTGGGACGGGCACGGGACCGGATGGGCAGGAGGCGGCGGAGTCGCGACGCCCCGCTCCCTCGCTCCGGGGGCCCCGCGGCCGCACTCACCTGCCTGGCGTGGCCCGCTGCCCCCGGCGTCTCCACGGCGCTGCCTTTGCTCTGCCCGCCTCCCTGGCGGCCCTGGCCTCGGCTGGGTCCCCGCGGTGCGCTCCCGCCGCCCTGTGCTCCTCTGGCCGCTGTGCGCTCACTCGCCGCGTTGCTTGCGGCGGCCGCGGGGGCGGGACCCGAGCCGGACAGGGCGGGCGGGGCGCATGGGGAGAGGCCCCTGTGGGCTCTGCCGCTCTCAGCCGCCCAACAGGTGTCTCCCACCTTCCTTCCAGCCAGCTTCGGGGGCAGGGGGCGCTGGAGAGCTGCAGGGGAATCGTGCGAAAGTGAGGGCTCCACCGCCACCGGACTCTGGACCAGAGCCCCGCCCAGCCTCACAAGTCGTGCCCCGACACCCACACTCAGCACTGGACTTCCACACACAAACAGCCGCGTCCACATACCAACGCACCTTGTCACAAGTTCAGGCGCGCAGCTGCCCAGTCTCACACGTTCGGTGACATGGTCACCACAGTGCCAACGGCCTGGGCAGGCTGCGATCAGGAGGGGAATCCCTCTGCAAGATGCTTGGGTGTGCGTGGAGGGTCTGGTCAGAATAGAAGTTTCTCCCCTTGCCTTGACCACCCCTGCCCTGCCCACGCGCTGTCCCCAACTGCAGGCATGCTGCGGTTTGCACACATGCATGCACACGGTGGTGGACCCACAAGGATGCACTCACACACACTCAGAGGTCTTTAAGCTGACTGAACACTCACCGCATGCAGATACACAGCCACACACAGGTTTTGTCTCTTTTGACATTCTATTAGGGACATTATCTTTTCTTTTTCTTTTTTTTTTGAGACAGAGTGTTACTCTGTCACCCAGGCTGGAGTGCAGTGGCGCAATCTGGGCTCACTGCAGCCTCTGCCTCCCAGGTTCAAGTGATTCTCCTGCCTCGGCCTCCTGAATAGCTGGGATTAGCTGGGATTACAGGCACCCAACACCAGGCCCGGCTAATTTTTCTCTTTTTAGTAGAGATGGGGTTTCACCATTTTGGCTAGGCTGGTCTTGAACTCCTGACCTCAAGTGATCCACCCACCTCAGCCACCCAAAGTGCTGGGAATACAGGCGTGAGCTACCGTGCTCAGCCTGTATTGTGAAAATTTTGAAACACAGACAAGTGAATAGTGTAATGAACCTGTGGTACTCATCATAGGTTTGTTTCAACAGTGAACAGCACTTCACCCATGTTCACACACATTCTCCACCCATGTGTGCCTGACTCCCACGTGTATCTCCAGACCCCCTCAGCCCACTGCTTTACGCCCTCCCCCTAACTATTCCCAAGATGCTGAAATGCCATTCCTTATTTGGGGGTTCTGAGTGGCAGGCTTCTCAGAATTTCTGCTCTGAACAGCCTGAACCCCACTGCTCCCAGGCATCCTCATACTTCCTATTTCTTCCTGTGCCCAAGGGGACCACCTACCAAAGCGAGGTGAGGTGATGCCAAGTGTGTAAGTGAACAGCAGGTGTCTGTAGGGGTGACACCTGCATAGGTATGAAACTGTGGCACCAGGGACTGTCTTCTGACCTCACACCCAGAAGGCAGGAATCCTGACGCGACCTTTGTGTCCTCCCTCCTCCCTTGTCCTCCCCCAATCAGTCCACTTCTCTCAGCCTCAGCTTGCTCTGGCTCAAACCACCAGCTCTTCTGACCAGGATCCCATGGTGGGTGCCTCCTCCCTGCTCTCCCTGCCTCCAGCCACCACCCTTCTCTGCGCAGCTCCTACTGCAGCACTAAGTCCTGGTTCCCTATGGCCCATTCCTGGCCATGCTGAGGCTCAGCCCCATTCATACCTTTGGCTGCCCCAGTGTCCTCCACCTCAGATTTCAGACCTCTGAGCCCATCAGAACCCCCCAGCCTCCAGAAGCTCCTGTTGGTACTGATGCCTCCTCCCCTGTGGCTTTGTTTGGTGTGAGTATCCTGGGGCAGAGCCAAGCCTCCTCCTCTGCCCAGCCCTCCCTGATGCTGGGAGGGGAGAATCAGTGAATGTGCCAGGCAGACAGACATGCCCCGGAAGTCTACTGGAAGACTGGAGAGCAGAGGGTAGCGATCCACAGAACCCTTGTGCCCTGCTTGCTCCCTTTCCCCCACCACAGCTTCCCCTGGCTGTTCAGAGAAGGTGCATGGACAAAGGTAGGTGGTCAGAGTCTTCCTGGAAAGGTAGGAATTGGCTTGGGGAAATTCCAGTTCTGAGTGTTTGGAGAGTGCTTTGTAGGGTTTGGGTTGACGGGCAAGGGACTGGGCAGTCACTCCCCCAGCTCCCAAATCAATCAAGCGAAGTTAATCCACTTTTGGGGTCTGGGCCAGGAGGGCTACAACTGGGAAGGGCTGAGGGGAAGGAATACGCTTGACTGGGACTTGGTTTATCTCTCTTCGTCTGTGAAAAGGAAAGGCTGCCTCTCACACCCACAGTCTGGTCCTATACCTCACAGAGACAGAGACAGACCTAGACCTTCAGAGACCCATGCTTCATTCATCCAACACATATTTATTATTATTTTTTTTTTGCCAGGCACTGTTGGACACAGGAGCAAATAAAACAAAGTCCTTATTATAATGGTACAATTCTAAGTGGGGGAAATATACAGTGTGTCAGATAGTGATAAATACCATGCAGAAAAATGTAGCTGCATTGGGGGGAACAGAAGGGGGGCATTAGTTACCTATTGCTGTGTGACAAATCACCCCATAATTTAGCAGCTTAAAACAAAAAACATTTATTTTCTCACAATTCTGTGGGTCTGGATGGTTCTGACTCATTGTCCTCTAAGGTGCTGTAGTAAAAAGGTTGGCCAGGGCTGCAGTCATCTGAAGGTTTGACTGGGACTGGAGGATCTACTTCCAAGATGGCTCACTTGCATGGCCCTTGTCAGGGGGCCTGTTTCCCTGCAATGTGGGCCTCTCCATAGGATTGGTTGTATGTTCTCTCAACATGGCAGTTGGTTTCCCCCAGAATGATCCAAGAGAGACTCTTTAGGCAGCAATGCTTTTTATGGCCTAGTCCTAGAAGTCACACACTGTTATCTCTGCCACATTATTTGTGAAAGTACATGATTGAGTCTAGCCCACTTAAGGGGAAGGAATTTAGGCTTCACCTCTTGAAGGACAGAGCATCAAAAATTTTGTGAAGGTATTTAAAATCACCATGCAAGAGATAATATTATGTAAGTGTTGAAGAACTCAGTGAGCAGGAATTGAAGGAGGGGAGGAAGAGAGCTATGGCTATGTGGATACCTTGGGACGAGCACTGCGGTCAGAATAGCAGGTGCAAATATCCTGGGACAGAATTTTGCTTGATGTGTTGGAAGAAAAGCAAGGAGGCCACTGGGTCGGAATAGGGGGACTAAAGGGGTGAGTGGTTGGAATGTCTGATCAGAGGAAACATGGGCCTTGGAGTAGGCCCTTGTAAGGAGTGAAAGGACAGAATGAGATGGAAAACCATTGGATATGTCTCGGCAGAGAGTGAAAGTCTGACTGGCTGCTGCAAGGAGAACCCTCCACACAGGATGCATGTGTGATCAGTTAAGGGACCACTGCAATAGTCTATAGGCAACAGATGATGGTGTCTTAGACCAGGGTGGGGGCAGTGGAGGTGAGAAGACACGGTTAGAGTCTGGATATATTCTGCAGACAAAAACAGTATTTGATGATGGATCGCATCTGGGACGTGAAACAGACGTGTCCAAAATGACTCTGGGCAGCTGGGTAAATGTAGGTGCCCTTAATTCAGAGAGTAAAGACTACAAGATGATGGTGGTGTGGGGTTGGGAAATAATTTGGTTTGCTTTGGATATCTCAAATCTGAGATACCTATTAGACAGTCAAGTGGAGATGTTGAATAGAGATGAAGGCAGTAAGATTTCCAACTCCGGTGCTCAGGGAAGAGATTTAGGCTGAGACAGAAATTTAGAAGTCAAGATATATAGATGGTAAAGTCACAGAATCACCTGGGAAGGGGTGTAAACAGAGAAGAGGTTTGAGGACTAAGCCCAAGAAAGTCAGAGAATGAGGAGATAGGAATCCAGTAGCTGGGTGCAGTGGCTCACACCTGTAATCCCAGCACTTTGTAAGGCCAAGCGGGCAGATCACTTGAAGTCAGGAGTTTGAGACCAGCCTGGTCAATGTGGTGAAACTCTGTCTCTACTAAAAAAAAAAAAAAAAAAAAAAAAAAATCCAGCAAAGGAGGCAATTAAGGAAGAGTAGTGTCCCAGAAGCTAAGAGTGCCTTCAGAGTGATTACCTGTGTCAAATGAAAGCTGAGAATTATGAAATGACCAACAGATTTAGCAGCAGAGATTAGGAGGGGCCTGGGAGCCTAGCCCTTTGTGGACGTTTGGGAGGAATGACAGGGCAAGCTGGGTCATCCCTGACATGTGGACTCTGAGCCTAGAGGCAAAGCTGGGTTACAGAGTAGGAATCCCCCAAGGAGGCATGGCTTTGCAACCTGGGGTCAATGGAGAGGAGCCAGCCAGAGCCTACTATGCCTGACACGGTGGTAATGGGGGTGAAGAGTCCGGGTCAGGATGGCCAACTTACCTGGACTCCACATTCAGTTGTTGTTTCTAAATGCAGTTATACATATAGTCTTTCAGATTTGTGTTCATTAAAATCTTAAAATATCTAATTTTTATAACCATGTTTCTTCCATTTTTAAAGTACCAGGAATCCTGAGAAGCAGGAGTGATCTATGCCTTACCCTCAGAACACGGCCAGGATGAGGGTGAGGCATACTTGGTGTGTAGGATGCAGAAGTTAAGGCAAGAGCAAGGTCTCTGGGAATGAATGCACTTTAGGCACCTCTCTTGCCTTACCTGAATCCTGGCCCTACCTACCTCACATACTGCCAGGTAGTGTGCCTGCCTTTCACTGTGGGAGCCTCCACATTAGTGGTGGGTCCTGGAGAAGGTAGACCATAGACTGGAGGAACTCCTGTTCTGGGTGGGGGCAGATACCACGCTGGGAGCCCCGGAAAAAAAGCCAACTGAGAACAACTATGCCTTTCAGCTAAAAAGTGGATGCACACTGCCATCCTGTGGCCATCCAGGGGAAGATTCTTAGGACTCTTCCCAGGATCCCACCGGCAGAGGTAAGGCCAAGACACACTCCAGGTCACCCTGCCCTGAATTTCTCAAATTGTGGCATTCACAGCTGTGTTGGAGAGAATCATTGAACAGGCTGATCTCTGGCAATGGAGCTCAATAGTCTGAGCTACTGACTCAAAGAGTGTCTTAGGTGATTCTAAGGCACACTCAAGTATATAGTCCCTACTAGTCAAAAGCCACTGTCTTGTCAGGCACAGTGGCTTGTTTCTGTTATCCCAGTTACTCTGGAGACTGAGGGAAGATCACTTGAGGCCAGGAGCTGGAGATCAGCTGGGGCAACATAGCAAGACCCCATCTCTAAAAAAAACTTAAAAAGCTAACCAGGCATGGTGGCATTTGCCTATAGTCCCAGCTACTCATAAGGCTAAGGCAGGAAGATTGTTTGGGACCACGAGTTCAAGGCTGCAGGGAGCTATGATCATGTCGCTGTGCCACTCTCCAGCCTGGGCAACAGAGGAGACCCCATCTCTTAAAACAAAAAAACAAAAAAACCCATGAATCACACAGCAAGAGAGAGATCTTCCTGAGGTCCCCAGGAGTCAGAGGCTTTTTCCAGCTGCTCAGACACACAAAAAGATGGAACAGATCAACAAATCTTTATTAACAGAAACAGACAGATGGACAGAGAATGCAGCAGGGGCTGTCTGAAAACTGTGATATGTGTGTGTGTGTTGTGTGTGTGTAAAAGGCCTTCTCCAGGCCAGGAAGGCCCCCTTGGAATCAGGCCCACCTGTCTAGATCCCCTCCTCAGTGGCAGGTCCTGGGCTGAAACCAGCTTCTGCATCATATCCCCAAAGGAAGAATGGGGGCCTTTCTGGAATGGAAGATGCTGACTTCAAGCATTCTTCACATTACTCTGGTTCCCCAGCTGAGCTTGGTTGCTGAGGGGGTTGGGGACAAGCCACAGGGGCACTTGCATAGCAGGGGAGTAGAATGGGGATAAGGCATATGGTGAGGACAGGGAAGAAGGGGAAGGGCATCATAGCTGCGGGTGAAGGGGGCCTCCAAAAGGCAGCTCCTCTTCCCCCTCATCCCCTCAAATTGCTGCTGGGTTGAGGAGTCAGACTGAGGCAGTATAATACCCTCCCCCATCCTTAACTCCAGAACCCCCCAGTTTGGTGGGGAGGGGGTGGGAAGCTGTGGAGCTCTGGAAAGGCCTGAGTTAGTGAGTCAAGCTTGTGATGTGTGTGTTTGAACACAACTGGCTCCCTTGGTATACCAGGGGCTCCCTATCCAGATGGGTATGAGTGCATGGTTCTACTGTACACACAGGTCTCAGTATCTATATGTGTCTCATTAGTTCCCATGGTTCTCTGTGTTTGGATACATAAGCATGGATATCCCTGCTCATACAGCAGGAACTCAGGATCTGCATGGTGTATGTCCCTGTCTGTAAACATGGGCTCCAGAAAGTGGATATGTGCGGGCCTGCCCGCTCCTGTCCATCCACAGGTCTTCCTTCAGGCCTGGCTGGTCAAGGATCCTGGCCGAAGAGGTAGGTGGTGAGCTCAAGCCGGAGGCCCCGAGCATAGGAGCGAAGAGTATAGAAGAGGGTGAGGAAGTCCTGGGTGCTGAAGACAGTGTCGGCCAGCGCGAAGGCCAGGGTGGATGGGATGACACCCCGGCCGTACTCCACCATCCATGTGTTTGGCCCCCACTCCACAGCTGTTGCCTCACCAGGCCCATGCACTACCGTCTCCCCTGGGGGACAGGGAGCACCCAAGTGAAGAGCCAGCTCTGCCTTGCCCTTCCATGGCTGCTGCTTTCCTGGCCCATGGACTAACTAGGGGTGGGGAATGGAGAGGGAGCTTCAGAAAAACAAAAGGCCCTACCTCACTGGGCTAGCCCATACGGCTACTCTTAAATGTTCTGTGGCATCATCTGACCCATGTCCTCTCTTGGGGGAAGCCATAGATGGCTACCTCGCTTGGCCATGGGCCCACTGTATGGAAGTCTGCACTCCCAAGCCTCACTCGAAACAAGCAGAAATTTAGCTAAACCTGGGCTGGGCTTGTAGCTAGGAAAGGGGTAGTTCCAGGACTTGTGAGGCTTTATCTGAAAAGTGTAGCTGTTCAACCACCATGCCTGCGATGCATACACCCAACCTCAAATATACGGGGAAGTCCAATGCTCTATTTCTTAAGCAAATTGTTGCACTATTAAAAAAAAAAAGATAACTGTCTGTATTGTCTTTTGGAGTATTGAGAGCATTTCTGATTACCCACTGTCTCCCCAACAGTTGTTGGAATATTGTCTGGGCAAAATTGTGCCTGGGCAGATAAAAATGAGACATGTTTAACAGGAAGTTGTTATGTTTTGTTTCCCCTTGACAGAGGAAAGCAAGAGTCCCTCAGCTCTGCCCCAACCAATCACCTGTGGCTTATGGGAGGGTGGAGGAAGGGAACCATGAGGAGGGCCCCCCAACACACTCCTTTTCCATGCCATGCTCCCCGCAATTGTGGGCACCCCCCGCGTGAAGGCACCCACTTCTCTGACAAAGCCTTCTTACCCACCTGGGTAGAAGACCTCACTTTTGGTGGTGCCCTCTCTCCACTGGTGGAAGGTGCCAGAGATGATGGTATCCGAGATCTCAGCCCAGTAGCGCCCTGAGTGACAATCGCATGGACACTCTCAGGGTATTCGCGCCATCGCACGGCCCAGCCAAACATCAGACAGGAGGGCATGGGCCCCTCTACAACCCCAGCCTCCCAGTCCGGCCCGCCGCTAGCACTGACCCGAGTGGCCGCGGGAGCCTAGGGCGGTGCCGAAGAGCAGCACATACTCGGACAGCGAGGCATGCAGAAGGCACATGGCGCCCATCCAGCCACCCGCATTCACGAACACCCACTGCAGCTCCTCGTCGGGCAGCACGTGGCCTGGGTGCAGCCGCCGCAGCTCCACGATCAGCCGAGAGAAGGCCAGCTCGTGGTCCAGCCCTGGCGGAGGCAGAGGGGCGGCGGAGTCAGGGCCGGCACCTGTCCTGGGTCCGGGGATGGCGCCTTCGGAACCCTAGGCTCCGCTCCCGGGCCGGCCGCTCCCCTCCCCGCCCTCTGCCCGCTCACCAGCGTACTGCCGCGCCAACTGCGCTATCTCTTCGCGCTGGAAGACGAAGCTCTGCGTACCCAGCCAGAGCCAGACGACCTGGGTCAGCACCGCTGCGACAGCCAGGAGCAGCGCGGCCCACGCCCACCGCCGGCCCACGGCCCACTGCATCCCGGCGGGCGGCCTAGCACGGCGCAACGCAGGAGCGAGCCAGGGTCTGAGGCTTTGCACTCACCGCCTCGGAGCCCGCCGGCTGCCCACGAAGCGCTCCCCCGCCACCGCCGTGGTACGGTTCGCCCTGACCAATCGGAGCGGCCAGTCACCTTGGCACCGCCCCTTCGGTCGAACCATTTCTTCGGGGGGAGCACGGAAGAGTGGGGCGGTGCCGCGCAACGGCGGCGAGGGGGCGGGGCTAAGTCGCCCAGCTGCGGATGGCAGGGTCTTCAGGCGAGGTCTGACCTAGCGCCACTCTACATACGGATAGGGGTGGGGGTAGTGAGACCCAGAATGGACTGGCTCGCCCGAGCTCACTGGCTGGTTGAAGCAGACGAACCCGGAAGTGGAGCCTTCTGGGACTCAACGATTGTTAGGGCCCTCCTTTACCAGGACTGAAGGGGAGGGGAGGCAGTTCAAGCTGGGAGCCCTAGGGTGGGCATTCCAGAGGCAGTGACACCTGAACTGTGTCTTTAAGAGCGCGCAGAGGGGGCACGCCCGTTCGCAGGGACCGGCCCCTAGAGCAAAGGCCCCCGAGGAGCGACAGCTTAGGGTCTTCAGGGGCCTACAATTCCTTCTCTGTTATGCAGCACAAAATGTGAGAGGAGGCCTTGTAAACCAGCTGAGGGTTATCAGCAGGGGAGGAAGGGGATTAGATTTTGCCACCGAGTGGCACAGGACTGCCGAGTGGAGGGGAGCAAGATGAGTCAGGGAGACCATGACCATGGGCCAGGGAAGAGGGAAGGTCTGTGTCAGTGGAGATGGAAGAAATAAATGAGCTTAACAACTCTGGAAATGAAGTTGGTAGGGCTTGATCTCTTCTTCCTGGAATACTCTTTCCCCCTTTACCCTATCCCCACCTTCCCCTTATTTGGCTAACATCCTTTGCATGTCTAGTGGGCAGTTGAGCGTCCAGGTCTGGAAGCTCAGCTCCAGTCTGGAGGTAGAGCTGGGAGTTGTCATTCATTCAGATATTTTGTTGGCACTTGTATGTGCCAAGTTCTGTAGTGACCATTAGGGATATGGGTAGAAACAATGGTCCCACTCCCCAGCTTAGGGATCTCACTGGAGAGTCTACAGAAAACCTCTAAGAATTGATAAAATCTCACAAGGAGAGAGAATAGAGTAAGATGAGGCTAAAGACAGAGCCCTGGAGATCACCAAAAGCAAAGGGTAGGCAGAGGAAGAAGAAAGCAAAAAGGAAAAGAAACAAAAAAGAGGCAGCATTGTGCAGTGATTAAGAAATAAACTCTGGAGCTGGACTGCCTGAGTTCAAAGCCTGGCTCCTGCTACCTGCTAGTTGTCTGATCTTGGGCAGGTTACTTAAAATCTCTGTAACTTAGTTTTCTTACCTGTAAAATTGAATGGACAAAAGTACCTACCTCGTAGTACATATCTTCATTGTGATGAGATTAGATGTGTTAATATTTGTAAAGCAGTTAGTGCCCCACATGGTGAGCATTTTACGTGATGGTTATATATATAAAACACAAAGGAACTGGAAAAGAGTACCCTCATACGTTTTTGACCTTAAAGAAGGAAACAGGCTGGGCGAAGTGGTTCATACCTGTAATCCCAACGCTTTGGGAGGCTGAGGCAGACGGAACACTTGAGTCCAGGTATTCGAGACCAGACTGGGCAACATGGTGAAACCCCAACTCTGCAAAAAGTACAAAAATTAGTCAGGAGTAGGTGCGCACACTTGTAGTCCCAGCTACTCAGGAGGCTGAAGTGCGAGGATCGCTTGAACCTGGGAAGTGGAGGTTGCAGTGAGCCAACAGAGCAATACCCTGCCTCAAAAAAATAAAAAAATAAAAAAAAAAGGGGCTGGCCGCAGTGGCATACGCCTGTAATCCCAGCACTTTGGGAGGCCAAGGCGGGCAGCCAGATTTCCTGAGCTCAGAAGTTCAAAACTACCCTGGGCAACATGGTGAAACCTTGTCTCTACTAAAATACAAAAAATTAGCCGGGCGTGGTGGCAGGTGCCTGTAGTCCCAGCTACTCAGGAGGCTGAAGCAGGAGAATCGCTTGAACCCAGAAGGTGGAGGTTGCAATAAGCCAAGATCATGCCACTATACTCCAGCCTGGGCAACAGAGGGAGACCCTGTCTCCAGAAAGAAAAAGAAAAAGGGGCCGGGCACAGTGGCTCACGCCTGTAATCCCAACACTTTGGGAGGCCGAGGCAGGTGGCCGAGGCACCTGAGGTCAGGGGTTTGAGACCAGCCTGACCAACATGGAAAAACCCTGTCTCTACTAAAAATACAAAATTAGCTGGGCGTGGTGGCATATGCTGGTAATCCCAGCTACTCGGGAGGCTGAGGCAGGACAATCACTTGAACACAGGAGGCGGAGGTTGTGGTGAGCCGAGATCGCGCCATTGCACTCCAACCTGGGTGTGAAAGAGCGAAACTCCATCTCAAACAAAACAGGCCGGGCGCAGTGGCTCACACCTGTAATCCCAGCCCTTTGGGAGGCCGAGGCAGGCGGATCACGAGGTCAGGAGTTTGAGACCAGCCTGACCAACATGGTGAAACCCCATCTCTACTAAAAAATACAAAAATTAGCCAAGCATGGTGGCGTGTGCCACTCACTTGGCCCAGATACTCGGGAGGCTGAGGCAGGAGAATCGTTTGAACCCAGGAGGTGGAGGTTGCAGTGAGCGGAGATTGTGCCATTGCATTCCTGCCTGGGCAACAGAGTGAGACTCTGTCTCAAAAGAGAAAAACAAACAAACAAAAACAACAGTGAGGAAAAAAAGAAAAAGCTGAGGCAAAATTAATATAGAGAGTTTATTTGGGCCAAGGTAGAGAGCAACTGCTCAGGACACACTTCCAAGTTGCCTTGGGGAGTGTTGATACAAGCATTTTTTATTTTTATTTTATAAGTGGTTTTTATTTTTATTTTGTATTTTCTTGGAGATGGATTCTTACTCTGTTGCCTAGGCTGGAGTGCAGTGGTGCGATCTTGGCTCACTGCAACCCCCGCCTTCCAGGTTCAAGCTATCCTCCTCCTTCAGCCTCCCGAGTAGCTGGGACCACAGGTGTGCGTCACCATGCGTGGCTAATTTTTGTATTTTTAGTGGAGACAGGTTTTTGCCATGTTGAGGCTGGTCTCTAACTCCTGACCTCAGGTGACCCACCCTCCTTGGCTTCCCAAAGTGTGGGATTACAGGTATGAGCCACTGTGCCCGGTCACTTTATTTTAACTTAATTTTTTTTTTTTTTTTTTGAGACGGAGTCTCCACTGTTGCCCAGGCTGGACCAGTGGCACAATCTCAGCTCACTGCAACCTCCACCTCCCGGTTCAAGCAATTCTCCTGCCTCAGCCTCCTGAGTAGCTGGAACTACAGGCGCCCGCCACCACATCCAGCTAATTTTTGTGTATTTTTAGTAGAGACAGGGTTTCACCAGGTTGGCCAGGCTGGTCTTGAACTCCTGACCTCATGATTCGCCCACCTCAACCTCCCAAATTGCTGGGATTACAGGCGTGAGCCACTGCGCCAGTCCCATGCTGTCACATTTTAATGCCTCTCTGGGCCTGATAATTAAAAGGGGCTGGCATTTCTCAGATAAAAAGTTTCTTTACTTTCTCAAGAGTGATGGAATGGGCCAAGCGCGGTGGCTCACACCTATAATCCCAGCCCTTTGGGAGGCTGAGGTGGCCGGATCACCTGAGGTTGGCAGTTCAAAACCAGCCTGACCAACATGGAGAAACCCCATCTGTACTGAAAACACAAAATTAGCCAGGCGTGGTGGCGCATACCTGTAATCCCAGCTACTCAGGAGGCTGAGGCTGGAGAATCGCTTGAACCTGGGAGGCGGAGGTTGCAGTGAGCTGAGATCATGCCATTGCACTCCAGCCTGGGCAACAAGAGCGAAACTCCGTCTGAAAAAAAAAAGAAAGTAATGGAATGAAGGGTTAACACAGTGAAGTATAATTGAGAGATTGAATAATATGATGGGAAATGATAATTAGACTTCTCAGTAGGGGTATGTGGCAGAGACAATGCTATACATTCACAAATTCATTTCCTCTTGCTCTTGGACCGCTAGATTACATTCCACAGTCTACTCTGGGTCATGTGATTGCATTCTGGCCAATGAAATATAGATAGAAATAGAAATGATGTATGACATTTCCAGGGCTGGCTCCTAAAGTCTCCTCTGAAATTCTGTTTTTTTGTTTTTTGTTTTTTTTTTCTCTCTCTCTCTCTTTTTAAGAGACAGGATTGTGCTATGTCACTCCCAGACTGGTATCAAACTCTTGGGCTCAAGTGATCTCCCACCTTGGCTTCCCAAGTAGCTGGGGGACTACAGGCACATACTACCATGCCCAGCTTGAAGTTCTTTACATTTTCTTTCTTCCCTCATCTACTACTGTAGTTATAGAGGATCTCTAGTGGAGTATTCTGAGACCCTAGGAAATGGCATAGCTACTAGATGGATGGCACCTGGATCCCTAAATCCTGCTTGGAACAGGCCTCCCTGTTATCCCCAGAATTGACTGTAGTGCTAAGCCATTGAGTTTTGGGAGTGTTTGTTACAGCAACTAAGATTACTTACCCTGACAAATATAGGGCAAAAGATGTGTTACAATATACCATGCAGCTAAGAGTAGAGGCCAGGAAGATGGCCTATGTTTTTAAGAAACTTAGCAGGCTGGGCATGGTGGCTCATGCCTGTAATCCCAGTACTTTGGGAGGCAGAGGCAGGCAGATCACCTGAGGTCAGGAGTTTTTTTTTTTTTTTTTTTTTTTGAGACGGAGTCTCGCTCTGTCGCCCAGGCTGGAGTGCAGTGGCGCAATCTCGGCTCACTGCAAGCTCCGCCTTCCGGGTTCACGCCATTCTCCTGCCTCAGCCTTCCGAGTAGCTGGGACTACAGGCGCCTGCCACTGCGCCCGGCTAATTTTTTTCTATTTTTTAGTAGAGATGGGGTTTCACCATGGTCTCGATCTCCTGACCTTGTGATCCGCCCGCCTCGGCCTCCCAAAGTGCTGGGATTACAGGCGTGAGCCACCGCGCCCGGCCGAGGTCAGGAGTTTGAGACCAGCCTGGCCAACATGATGAAACCCTGTCTCTACTACAAATACAAAAATTAGCCGGGTGTGGTGGTGCATGCCTGTAATCCCAGCTACTAGGGAAGCTAAGGCAGGAGAATCACTTGAATCCAGGAGGTGGTGAGCCTAGATTGCACCACTGTACTCCAGCCTGGGCGACAGAGTGAGACTCCATCTAAAAAAAAAAAGAAAAAAGAAACTTGGGAGAGAAATTAAGGATAAAGAAGGGATTATCTAGAGGAGAATGCAGGATTGAGGGAACATACTTTTGTATTGGTTCTGGCTTCTGTGGCATTTCTGACTGGACAACTCACTAAGAACCCTGAGCAGCAGGGATTGGCCCCTAAATTTGGTCTCTGCTCCCCATTCCAGGAACAGCTTTCTGGGATCATCTGGGCCTACAGCTCCCCTACCTGGTCTTTCAGAAAGCTTTTCCAGGTGTAGTGGCTTACACCTGTAATCCCAGCACTCTGGGAAGGCCGAGATGGGCGGATTACCTGAGGTCAGGTGTTCAAGACCAACCTGGCCAACATGGGGAAATCCTGTCTCTAAAAAATACAAAAATTAGCCGAGTATGATGGTGGGTGCCTGTAATCCCAGCTACTCGGGAGGCTGAGGCAGGAGAATCACTTGAACCTGGGAGGCAGAGGTTGCCGTGAGCCAAGATTAAGCCACTGCATTCCAGCCTGGGCAACAGAGTGAAACTCCGTCTCCAAAAAAAAAAAAAAAAAAGAAAAAAAAAAACACATAAAAATTATAGAAATGGTCAACCAGCAGCCCTCAGAGGTGCTCTGTCTATGGAGTAGCCATTTTTTTTATTCCTTCACTTTCCTAATAAACTTGCTTTGACTTCACACTATGGACCCACCTTGAATTCTTTCTTGCATGAGATCCAAGAATCCTCTCTTGGGGTCTGGATTGGGATCCCTTTACTGTAACAACACCTCTGGGATCTGGGAGGGAGGGAGCTGGGTAGGCTGCATCTTAGTCATTCTCCTCTTCCTCCAAAAGATGACCTTGGGGAGTCATAGAGGAGAGTTATGGAGATGTTCCTGAAAGATGTTCCTGATGGGGGTCAGGATTTAGTTAGCATGATTCAGGGTGTGGCACTGAAGCACTAGTGTTCTT